TATAGCTAATTTTGAAAGTTATCGATGAAAATTGCAACATCGAAAATTTTATCAAAACTTCAAATATTGTTTTCTCAGAAACTAAGAGTTATTTTTCAAAACGGGTTGGTTCATTGGAAAGAAGACACTTTTATTAACACTTTGGGAAATTTTCATACTCATATTCCAAAAAATGGATTTTATACGAATTTTTAAAACTTAATCGGTGAAAATTGCTAAATTCGAAAAAATTCTCGATTATTTCAAAAATTTATTATTCAAGAACTAAAAGTGATTTTTTAAAACGGCCTTTTGTATTAAAAGAGGAACTTTAATTAATAATTGGCACAAAAATGATTTAATGTTATTTCTATTTAAAATATTAAAAAAATCTATTTATTCTTACCTATTATAATTTCCATATTGATATTGTTTATTTTTTTCTTTAAACTTAGGCATATGATTCTGATCAACTGGAGCTCTAGCAGGCTTAACGTGCCTAATCGCCTGACTATTACTTCGTTTTAACCAAGCTCCAGGTTGCGGAATAACCGGGCTAACAATTTTATCCATAGAGTATTTCATTTTTTTCACGTTTTCTTTGTGATCATCAGATTTCCGTTTGTTCTTGTCTTTTTTCGGTGATAGATCTAAATTCAATTCTTTATTAATTATCACCGGGCGATTTATTAAATTAACTTCCGTTATTAATCCTTCGCTTTCATTCTCCACCGTTGTTACTTCAGATCCTTCCGGTATTTTCGCCGAATCTCGCCTTGATTCTGGCGTTTTCGCTTCAGACGAGGATGTCCCACCAATATCATCATTATTAGCTGCGGAATTTATTTCCGTTATTGAACAAACTGTCGCGGACATTGTTCGTTTTTTTCGTAATCGCTTTTTTCGTCCTTTTTTAATCGGTGAACATAATTGTTGTTCGAATTCCGCTTCATCCGCACAACCAATTAAATCTAATGGATCGTTTATATTCGGTGGTATGATTACTTCAACTTGACCTTTTCTTCGCGGTGGTGTTGGAATTGGAGAGGATTTTGGTGTTACGGCGTTCATTGCTCGGTTTATATCTTCGTCTTGTAAACTATTTAAATTTAACGGATCGTTTATGTTTCCTCCTAAAAGAAATTTTGTTGGTAACACCGGTTTCATACTTTTCATTTTCATAGGACCACCGCCTGAAAAACTTTTTGAACGTTTTCTTCCACTTCTATCGTGTTTAAATTTCTTTTGGGAAATTGTACTAAAATTATTCGACGTTCGACGATTATTACTCCGTTGATTTGGCATTTTTAATGAAGATGGGTGGTTTTCTAGTACTGCTGAAGACATTATTTCTGAAACAATAAAGATAAATTAGTAAAAAGTCTATCTGAAATATTATTTTATTTCATTATATTTTATTGTTATCTTATTTTGTCTTATATTTAATTATTTATTCAGAATAAATATGTAATGAAAACTCTAGAACTATATTTGAGTAACGGATTTTATACTTTAAATGGAGATTCTTGAAATTTGCATTTTTGAAAAGCGTTTATATCTGTTGGGATTTGGTACAATTTTCTGACGTCGCGTTGCCTTTGTGTTGTCGCGTTTCGGAGAGCTTTATTGAAGCAAACAATCCCGGGGTATTGTTTGAACGTGAGATATTGCAGCGGAACCCCCCGGGTATTTCATACTAAAGAGAATTGCATACACGATTCGCGTTCATCTATGTATGCAGGAGGTGAGTTATAATGTAGTTTCAAAATAATTCCTTGAAAATAAAAGACGAAAAGTTCGTTGGAAATTTTTTCAGAAAATTATTACCATTTTATTTATTATTTGTACAATAATATTTCTTAAAATCAAAATTAAAAGAAAAAAACAATTTTCTGCAATTGTTTCGGTTGAATTTAAAATTTATAGATCTATAAATTTTGTTACTTCAAGTAAAACTGAAATGTTTTGAGGTCAACAACCGTGTTTCGTTTAATTTTGGACCTCATCTCCTCATCTGTATACAAGCAAAAGTAGATTCGCTTTCACTTTTATCATCGCCCCAATTTACTATAGTTAGCTTTTATAATCTTTTCATCTCAACTTTTTTATTTCCTAAAAGTAAATAGATTTTATCAGGTAGTTAATTTAAAAAAAAATGCATTTTCCGCTTTTTTTTTTTGCATAAATGTTGATAAAAATAACCACCTTGCAATTTTTGATTGTAAGCCAAATTCTAAAATACACTACTTTCATCACACTCACAAAGATATATGAATTCATCTATTTTAAGTTGGTGTAATTTTTATTACTTCATTTAATATATAGGTACAATACTCAAAAGAAAATCGCGAAAGCGAATAGTAAGAAAACTTTGAGTTAGAGAGAATTCAAGTTAGAGAAAAATTATTTCAATAAAAATATCATGTAACGCTGAATAACAATTAAAACTAACACTAGCATTAGAACTAACACTAGACCTAGAACTAGAAACATTCAGGTTTAGTCGTCTTGAGAGACGTGCGGCTAAATCCGAATGTTTCTAGTTCTAGGTCTAGTGTTAGTTCTAGTTTTACACTAGCACTATCACTAGAATTAACACAAAACCTAGAACTAGAAGCATTCGGGTTTAGCCGTCTTGAGAGACGTGCGGCTAAATCCGAATGTTTCTAGTTCTAGGTCTAGTGTTAGTTCTAGTTTTACACTAGCACTATCACTAGAATTAACACAAAACCTAGAACTAGAATCATTCGGGTTTAGCCGTCTTGAGAGACGTGCGGCTAAACCCGAAAGTTTCTAGTTCTAGGTTTAGTGAATCTAGGTTTAGCACTATCACTAGAACTGACACAAGATCTAGAACTAGAATTATTCGGGTTTAGCCGTTTTGAGAGACATGCGGCTAAACTCGATACTTTCTAGTTCTAGGTCTAGTGTTAGTTCTAGTTTTACACTATCACTCCAACTAACACAAGACCTAGAACTAGAATCATTCGGGTTTAGCCGTCTTGAGAGACGTGCGGCTAAACCCGAATGTTTCTAGTTCTAGATCTAGTGATTGTTCTAGTTTTGCACTACAACTAACACAAGACCTAGAACTAGAATTATTCAGGTTTAGCCGTTTTGAGAGACGTGCGGCTAAACCCAAATGTTTCTAATTCTAGGTCTAGTGTTAGTTCTATCTTTAGTTGTTATTCAGTGCTAGATTATTGTATAATACTGTTTTACGGTTTTACTGTAGTTGTTTTAAATGATTTAATTAAAACGTAATATGTAAAATTAATTACGGTAAAATACATGAAACGATTTAATTTAATGTATTATTTTTTTCTTGTTTTATTCGTTAACATTTTCATTGCAAATTCACCACCAATATTTTCTCTATTCATACAACGCAGCAACAATAATCAAATAAACCAAACTCGAACGCAAACGGACATATAACGCACCGTTACGTGCGTATACATTAATTTCCGGTGATAATAACGAATTGGGTATGGTGTTGTGGGGGAAAACGTTAAACATTCTCCCATCCCTCAACCTCGGTTGGGCTTGCTATTTATAATTGGAGATGATAAAACATTTCAATTTGCTAATGTGTAATTGAATTCGTTTTGATTGTCACTATTGAACGATTGTTTAATGTTAAAATTATTAAGTTAATAAAATGAACACAGAAACCAATTATGTAACGTCGATAAATCTGGTTGGTTACGAATGGTAAAAGTTTGTTTGCGAAAACTCCAATACTATAGGAAATTTATCAAAAAACTAAGCCCATTTGTATTTTCTTGACGACCTGGGAGGTTGGTAGTAGTTTGAATGTAAAATTGTTCCCAAAGTAGAAACCCGGTAAAGTTAACGGAGAAAAGGAAACAAAATTTTTACGAGTAAAGTTATCTCTGAATTTACGCGAGGTAGAAACACTTTAAAACTGGAACGCTGCATTTTAAAAAGGTTACGATAAAACTATTTACAATTCATCAAATATTACTAAAAAAAACTGTTAACTAAACAAAAATTAAATTAGAACTTCCAAAATAAATTTATAAAGAACTATTTCGTACTAAATAACATTGTTGTTTTTGCTAATTCAGGTTTAATTTTTTATTTTTACTTTATTATCATACCATAAATTGACGTCACATCATACCATCTTAATGGATAATTTAAATATTATTTTTAAATCAATACTTAAGACCTATTAATATTTTATGTATACTCTTTAAAGTTATAGAAAGAATCATTTCCCAACAAATTATATCCTTTGTGGAACAAAATAACATATTGCCACAAAACCAGTCAGGTTTTAAACGCGATTATAATTATACGACAGTGCTTGTATACATTACTGACGATGTCGTAAGCATGACATCACTGACAGACGATTATATAGATTACATGTATATCTATACATATCTTAATTTCCTTATAAACACTCTTCCTGGACTTTTGGAAGACTTATCATTAAATCAGAGACCAAATCTATGGTTTATGCAGAATGGAGCACCATCCCACACTACGTTTGATGTAATGCGGTAATTTTCTGACTTTATAGACTTTTCCTGGTTTCTTTCATTTCTTGCCTCTGTGTCCTTGTTTTTTCCTATATCGGTTAATTAGGTGGTAGAGTTTTCCGCATGTTCTATTAGCTAGTGCCTTTCTTTTTGATTTTCGCGTGCCTTTTGAAGTTACATATTGCTCTTGTCGAATGTCATCCCTAAGTGGGTGATGGTGCTTCTTGTAAATAGGTTTTTACTAGTATTTCCTATTCTAACTTTATCGTCTATGTATTTTCTTTCAGCTAATCTTACCACCTCGGTTTCTTGTATGTTTATCTTCCACTTCTTGGCCCATGCTATTACACTGGCTGTTGCATTTTCCGCTTTTGTCCTCACCTGCCCATAGTTCATACTTTCTATTATCCTTCCTCCTAATTTTCTGGGTATATCATGTACTATTATGATAGGATCAATAGGATAACGAATATTGGGAATTCTTCTGTTATCACCACCTTTCCGGTGGTAGCAAAAGTAGCAACTTTTATCTTGTAAGGAGAATGCTGTCATCTGTTGCAGGTATTCTTCTCTCCATGTTCTATTGTATGGCTTCTCCATGTTGAGGACTGCGCATAGGTTTCTTCGCTTTCTTTGCACTTTTCCACATTTTCTTCACATCCTTTCCAAATCCGTATTGACTGTCTGATATTATCTTCCATTCTTCTACGAACTCGTTGAATTCTTTTTAATTATTATAGAGTCTCGTATTTTCCCCATCAAATTTAGTAGGCTACTATTTTTGATTCTTTCCACGCCTTTGGATATAGTCCTTTTTAGTTGTTTTGTTGAATACCTCTGTCATCTCCTTCGTGACATCCTCATACCGTCGGGTTTCTAATTAAAGAGTATAGTGTTTTAATTAAATAAGAGAAATGAAAAAAATCAAATTTGATTTCAGATTGTGTTAATGAATGGCCTTTTACATATTTTGATTTAATTACATGCCGCTTAATAATGATACTCTTGTCAACCCCAAGCTGTCAGTGTGGGACGGAGATTACAGATTTAAAGATATTGATTAACGGCAAAATTATAAGATGCACGTTGCCTCTTATTACTAGTATAGAAAATGTATTAAGTGGCAATTATTTCGATCTAAGAAAAACCACTTCATAAATACTTGCACAGCGTCCAATCATCCATCTCATTCATGTCAACTACATATTAATATTTCGCTGACACAAAACATTGATAGTGATACTTATAAAAATTTTAATTATTATATACTTTTACGAGATTAAAAACGTTTACTTATAAGCAAAGTTTACTACTGGTACTGATATTGAAATTGTCAATGGAATTTCTACAAAATTATTCAGAATCGGTTGGCATTTTATTGAAGAGAAGTGTTCGCTCGCCGATGTATGGCATCCGACACCAATCGATACTCTGCAAAAATGGATTTTGGGACCGTGAAAACTCGATTTATGTGACACGATTGGACTTGGTACTTCAATTACAGGAGTTAGTCGATGATTACGCTTGAAAACTGAAATGAAAAAAAGTTTCGGATATATTTATTATTGTTTCACATCATCTAAATTTTCTGTTAGAAAAGTTATCAAATTGATTGGTTGAAACTTTGATAAATTATTCTCATCACAAACACACACGATAAGAATTAAAAGAAATAATTAAAGTAACGAATCGTTTAATAGAAACGAAGCAATGTGGTCCAATAAACATCGTAACAGTTCCAGCGAACCGTGCAGAAAATATGGATCATTCCCGTTTGTTGCGGTCAATTGTTCTGCAGCTCTCAATCTTGCGTTTGTATCGTTCTACCGTATATACTACTATTCC